ACTTACCAGCCCAAAAGGTCTCAGATTTCCCCAAATCACAGGCCAAAAAACAAAATCTGAAGAGCAAGACAAAAGTTGGTAATGACACAGAAACTACTAGTGCTGTCGAACATAGAAATGAAACATCTAGTGAAAATTCTAATGTTGGTGTAACTAAAACAAGTATACCTAAAAAAAGGAAAAATGCTGGTGCTAACAAAGATCCTATTGACGATGTCACAAAAAGTCCTGCAGAACACAAAACTGACAAAACGGAAAAAGTTAAGTCGAAGAAGAAAAAAATTAGTGATGAACAGGAAACCCCCAAAAAGACAACAAAAAGTAAAATCAAAGAAATTGTGACACCTTCCAAAGAACAGTCTGACAGTGAAAATGCAGAATCTTCACTGACTGAGAGTCAAGCAGATGAAATGAAGGTAAGCAAACCTAATAAAATACATAAAGTAGTAGACCTGTCCATCTTGGATAGCCCTGCGAGGAGAACTCGACGCAGCATGTCTCGAATGTCTGAAACCGAGATCACTCCAACCAAAGACAAGCTGCCAAAAAGAACAAGACGTAGCAGCATCAAGTCTGATGTAGTCTTATCAACGCCAAACAAGTACGCTGCATCAGAAATGAGCGATGCAAGCACTGAACTCAATCTACAACTCAACACGCCCAGTAAACCCACGCCTAGTCGGAGGTCAAGCAGACGGGCAGAGTCTGAGATGAGTGACGCGAGCACCGAGCTCAATGTTCAGATCAGTACACCGATTAGAAGGTCAATCAGACGACCATCCATCTCGGCTTCAACTAGCACAGTAAGTTTCAATCATTTTACAAATATTTAGACCCAAACATTGTCTTAGATTTTGTCTTAGATTTTTGTACAATTAGATTGTTTTCAGACTACTAAATGAAGATTTTTCAAGTAAAAGCAGGCTCACCTTTGAACTGCTTTCAATGCATAAATAGACTCATTACTAACTGAGATATATCAAGTTAACACTACAAGACTTGTAATGTCAATGACTTTGGGTACTAAAGTCAGCGAGCACAGAATAAAAATAGAGGGGCCATGCGTATTTAAATAACATTATAGGCAGTGACGCCAAGTTCCCCCGCTCCGGATTCGGTCAACTCGCCGTGACCGAGTAAAACAGCGTCAAAAACCCTTTTTATGATACTCGATGATTAGACGCACTTACAGTAGTCCTAAAATTACCAAACTTGGAACAGGGAAAATTTATTAGTACTGTTCAATGATAGTAAGCTTTAAAATATTATATATAACCTATTTTGTTTTTATTAATTGATAAAACTGAAAGAAATTATTAATTCTTTTGTGAAAACATGAAATTATTAGTAATCGAGGAAGTTTTTTATTTTTTGGTCAGGAAAGTTTCGTCTGCGGCAAAGTTTGAGAGCATTAGTTGAACCTTAACATATATTTTTCTGAGAATTCTGTGATGGCTGGTAAAGGAAATAAATTAGGTTGAAGAGGCAGTAAAATCCGTCCTACGGCCCGCGGCGACGCGACTCGGGCACTGCACGCTGTCACTGCGACCGTGTCTCGTCACTCACTGCTGCCCTAAGAATCGAGTAATGAAACACTTATCTAATTAACCTACATAAATATTTTTGTACTTACTGGCACTTTTTCTCTTCAGGTAATGATTGTAGATGATTTATTGTGTGGAGAAATAAACAGGCTTTAGTTCTAAGCTTGTATTTCACAAGTAAATATAGTTCAATATTATAAGTTCATATATTGAGTGTCGGTGGTTTTACAATTCTACCCTTATTGGCCTAGAAATGTCACAACTTTGGTTAGGTGGTGCCTGACTCGGGAGGAATGAACTTTATCATTGAATATTTTACTGTAATGATGAAGTCTAATGTTCACATACTTCCTGCAAATTGATTTCAGCAGTAAGATCAGATGGTTTTGTTCAAATTCTTGATCGTTGTAATGATCTGATATGAATATGGGTAGGCCGATGCAACAGCTTAAAACCTTTGAAATGATTACTTCAGTGATATTTACCATTTTCAACTGATTAAACACTACAGCTCTGCTGAATGCAATGTCAACAACCGACTAAATGTTGTCTAGCGGAGCCTCGTGACAGCGCTCAAGACGCTCGGTACTAGGGTGACTCATCGCTCCCCCCACTCCGGATTCGGTCAAACCCGCGGAAAATTTGGCTTCACCGCCGCGCACGGATGTCCTCTCTATTTTTATTCTGTGCTCGCTGACTAAAGTAGACGTCCAATCTATATGGACTGTGTGTAGTCTGTTAAATCCTAAAAATATAATTAAATACATTGAAAATATTAATTCCACTTTTTCAAAAATGGCAGATTACTATAAAACATCTTATGGAACACCCTAAGTATATTTCTTGATCTTTTCAGAATGTGATGCAATTTTATGACTTATCTATCCTATTTACTCTTAGCATTTCTTTTCCAAACTAACTTGTTTAGGAGCTTCTGGATGCACAATGTACACTGTAAGCCGCTTTTTCCCAAGGTATAATATGCTGTACTCCTTAACGAGTAGCTTTAGAAAACAAATCTGAAGAATAAAAATGTTTTAAAATTGTATTTTGTATTTACATTCTAAAACAATCGTAAAATAATAGGTGTTCCATTCAACATTTTAAAGTTAGCTGCCATTTGTGAAAATGGCGGACATAAAAAGTCTACTTCATAATGTTTAATGTCATAAGGAAATAGTTGAAGTAATGTTTTCTCTAAATTTAATAGTTTCGGAAATACCAATGGGGGCACAGTTAAGTTGTTCACCCTGTTAGGGATAAACTAGTAAACTGTCGTCATTAGTCGCCTGCTTCAGAATACTGACATTTAGAGAAAACGTTGAATTGGGAAGGGAACCATTCATATAGTCTAATCGGTGCCAAAAATATACTGGTTAAAACTGTTGAATGATTACTATGGTTAACAAATTCTATTGGTGACATAAATTTTTCTGTTTTTAGCCGGAACTCATTCCAGAAGAGCTTTTAATGCAACGAAGACTGACCAGGCATCAACATGCCCAACTGCAGAAAAGTTTTGAACTATCTTTTGCGGAATCCCCGTAAGTTATCCCAATGTATAATAAAATTTTATGCTTGAATAAAATTGTATTGATTTACTTACTTAACAAAAATATAATTTTACGATAATGAATTTGGAAAAACAAGAGAATGATTTGTGTTGTTATGTATGCCACAACTCAAACCCAAGAAGGCGTTTGGCTTCAGCAACCGGTTTCTGGCATCCTTCTTGCTATGGTCACAGGATTTCGCAACTTGGTTGCCTGGACTTAATTCACTTGCGCTTAATTAATTTAGTATCTCACTTGTGAACACTGTCACATTTCAAGCTTCAGAAGCACTAGTCCCATTGGCATTGGCTGACAGTGATGGCTAAATTGTATGACGAGTGTAGCTCAACATGCTCAGGTTTGATTCCCGTTCAAGCAATCCATATTAAGTTTACTTTTTCTTAGCCAATGAAGGGTCTACTTTAAATTAACAGTGGTTGTCAAGGTTTTGAGTGGAAGTCGGCGGCATTAGTGAGCTTGATAGGGTTTGCACACAATAACTGTTTTACTTCATTTTACATTGCTGCAGTATCTATATAACTGAAAAACCAAAAATTACTGTAAAGAAATCATTAAAATCTTCACATCCAATGGTCAATGTAGTGTTTGCCTCCTTCTGTTTACTAGGACCAATCAAAACTTAGACTTTTGCTTTTGATTCTTAAAAAAATACCCTAGACTTGATAAAAGACTCCTTATTTTCTAGTGGTGCAAATTTTTCAAATTTCTAGGTTCTTAACTGATCCAAAAATATAACACAGTATTTTGTTTTCAAATACTAGGCCTATTAGTTTGTTTCTGATTTAAAAAAATTCAGGTTGTAGATATGTCACATACTAAAAGTCACGGTCTGCTAGTGATATGTACATACACACTCGCTACCTGCTATTCAGTAAAATACTTAATACTCAGCCACAGACTAGTATTACACTCGCAGCTGACATGGTTAGGTTTGAGAGGACTCTAGTAAGCAGAATAAAATTATCATCTAAGGCAATAGGTTTTGCTATAGTGAAAGTGGAACCAATCGCCTCAGAACCAAGTTTAATAGATCTGGCTGAAAAAACTATATAGGATTTTAAATATATAAAAACATGTTTTTTCTTGCTATCCCTCCATTGTCACCTTCCTTTCCATACTTTTATGATTGAGTATCAATTTTGATGTAGCCTTCATAACTTTTACCATCTCTCTAATGTGCTTTCATACTTTTAGTTTTCAAGTTTTAACCTTTCATAATTTTTTCCAGTAAACTGTCCAGGCTCGAAGAAGTTCCTGAAGAGAGTGTTGAAGATGGTGATGTGAAACTTACGCCAATCCGATCTTCAAAACGAACCAAAGCCTCCACCTCTAAAGGTTCTAAGATCAAATCTTCTAAAAAGTAACCATTACCATTAAGTAGGATTTAGCTATTCCATGAAAAATATGTGCATAAGTTCCCTAGAAACATCTCATGACTTAAATTATTATTGTTGGACTGTAATAACTAAGCAGGATAATGTATTTTAAAAAATGTAAGAAAGTGTATATTTTCATTAAGTTATGTAATCATTTTAGTGAATAAACTTTGTTCTTAAAAATTTAAATGTTGAATTATTTTCCTACTTGTATCATAAGTGTATTGCATTTCGCATAACATGTCATTTTTATTTCATCACGCCACAAAATAATAAAATAAATTGCAAAAGTTATGCTTAGCCTTATGTAAAAAATATTGGAACTATCATGAAATTGTTTTTCTTTCATTATAAAACATTTTACATTTAATTTAATTTTTCTAACAAATGTTTCTTAAAGAATATTGAAAGTGAAGTGTATTTTTGAGGTCACAACCTTTGTCATTGCAAAAAGATGTATATATTTTAAAACTTTGGGTTAACAAACATACACAGATCAGTCCAGTTTTCAGTTTATATTTTATTTTATCGATTCACAAAATGCTCAATTCAATTTTATAATCACAATAATAAATTATTGCTTACTTGGAAAGACGTTAAACTCATTTTGAAGGCTGTTCCTTAGCAAGCTTAATAGGCAATCGGAATCTTTAATAATTCTCGAACCTGAAGATGAGACAAGCCAACTTGGAAGGGTGAAACAGGGCAATAAATTTACTAATAATGATATTAATAATAATAATAATACCTTATTATTTACTCTTACTACTAATTAGCCACACCTTGCTGAATACACCACATACAAGTGGTGATTTATTACAACAATTGCATTAACTCGTTTTTGAGGAAAACTAATTAATCTGTATGTTCTAAGTAATCATAAAACTATTGTTGCTTTGTTCATCCCTTCCTGTCAGGTAGCTAAAGGTTCTTTTGTTGAGCAGAGGCAGAAATATTGACAATGCTATATTCACTTACTTCAGTAACAAATGGATACATCATAAAAGTAGCTTGAAAAGTAGTAAATGTAATTTTTTATGTAGGAAAACGTTAATATTTTGTAAGCATATAAATATTATTTGAATAATCATAAAACTGTTCTATAATTACCCGTGGCTTCTGGGTTAACTAATATTTTTAAGTTTTATGCCTAAGATTAAAACAGATGTCAAAACAAGACAACTTTTCTTAATTTTCTCTTAAAATTCAGTAAAATTGACTTCAAAAGGTCCCGCACATAATAATTACATTTGAGGGGTGAAATAGCATAGCTCATACAGTTTGGTCAAATGTTCTCAGTCAAGATAGTTATTGTAAACCTCAGGATAAGGTTTAGTAACTGGAAATACATAAGTAATGAATAAATCAAAATGTTTCTAGAGAAAGATTAATGTTACAATTAATCTACATTTGATGTCACATAATTTCCGAATTTCAATTCAAAGTTCTTTCAAAACACTGTGGTCATGTGTTGAGTCATCTTTTTGTTTGATAAGGACATCTGTATTTTTCAAGTAACATCAGAATGATCTTTTTTACATCTTGTAAAACTTGACGTGTAATGTGATTACAAACTTCTAATTTTATTTATTTGTGTTTTAAATGCTTGAAAGAACATGTCTCTAAAACATCTGTATAAATATGATAACTTATTATCATAAGAAACCTCCTTTATTTAGTATCCTTGTTATTAATTACTTAAGTTTTAATGTTTTTAAGCTCATTTTATCGACTTTACTATTCAATACTCAACACAATTTCAAAACCTTTCTTTTGGAATAGGTTTACTGTTTTATATTTTAACTGCTTTCAAAGATAATTAATTCCAAGTTTACTCCTTTTTTAAATCCTTAAATCTATCTAAAATATAAAACAAAATATATGTACAATGGCAGGAATCGCAAAAGCCTACATGATTATAATAATTGCTAAAAAATGTTCAAATGTCAGTTTGCTTTTTTTGGTGCCTTTCTTCTTTTGAAGGCTGTCGCCTGTTTGAGGAGTTCAGCATTTTCATCTTCAACTAGAGAGGGAACTTCAAGCAGTCTTCTAGGCAATAATAACAAGCCTATAAGTGTAAGACCTGAAAATATAAAATCAAATCAGCAACTAGAGTAAATTGTTTCCATCATCCTACTAATATTATAAATGAGAAAGTTTGGATGTATGGATGTATGTTTGTGACAAGTGAACGCGAAAAATACTGGTCGGATTGGGCTGAAATTTGGCATGATGATAGCTCACATTCCCGATTAGCATATAGGCATATTCTTATTTCAAAAATCCTTTCAGGCTCCGCCCCAGTGGCCCTGGAGTTTCCCATGTTAACCTTATGAGAAATGGAATTATTGAATCTTAACAGCTGTTTCAATTAAACAAGTTGGTTCTGTTCTATGATGTTCAATAGCATTAAAGTTACAAGGATTACCAACAGGGTGCAGCACTATTATTTCTTTTACATTTATGACAAAAGCTAATTTGCAACCAAAAGGTGAGTGAGCGTAGCGAACGAACTTCAACCTGGAGGCAAGTGAGCGCAGCGAACGAGCTCCAACCTAAAGGTGAGTGAGCGTAGTGAACGAGCTCCAACCTAAAGGTGAGTGAGCGTAGCGAACAAACTTCAACCAGGACGTGATTGAGCCATGCGAACGAGATAATCTTGAAAATTAAGAAGTTAAACGGGGCAAAGCCCGCGGGTTACAGCTAGTATTTAATTAATATGTGGTTTGTGGTGATGTACAATGATTTATGAAATAATATAATTAACATTATAGAGGATTCATTGCATGGACAAAAAGTACAACAGAGTACTGTTGTAACTTACTACCTTACAAACCTTACACTACAGTAGTGCATTCTGTGGCTCACCGTAACAGTGTCTAAAATTCTACCTGACTTTTTCTTGCTGACATAGTTGATGGGTCATAACGGTTTAAGCTTATTGTTGTTCTTAAATTTGACTACTTTAAAATGGGGATGGAAAATCTAGTGGTTGTACAATAGTTAAAAAATCATTTTTTCAACTCAGCTCTTTTATGGAAACAGATCTGTAGGCTTATACAAATTGCTATATTGGATAATTTGCATAAATCTCATGAAGAATCTCATTATAATTGTCTTTGATGTTCTCCGCACAAGCTGCTAATGAGAGATTAAATTTTGTGGAAAGGCGAATGTCCGTTGACCTTCCAGTTATATTTACGTGTCTCACAACTCTCTTTATTCATAAACGTTGATTCCTTGCCAACCCCAGAGTACAGTCATTGTATGAATGGAACTCGCTCATCTCTGGTCCAGTTAAACACATTGATATTCTGAGATGGTCACACAGCCTGTTGAAATGTGGGATTAAATGAAATGACCATACGAGATATTGAAGGTAATTATTAATAAGTAGGCTTAAGCTTCGTCGGGAATAATTAGTTGTGAAAATAAACATTGTATTTATCAGAGAAAAGTCCCTGCTAAATACAAAATTGGACACAAATATATTTTTAACAAAAGTATGTGTTTTTAAATTTGTTTTGCCAAAAAAATAACATTTCTCATATTGTTAGAAGGTAGAACATGTTTTGTCGTATTAATTTTAGCTTCAGGTACCACTAATTTTTAGATTGAGAGTTTGAGGCATTGTCTGTCAAAGTCAGTTCTACAGCAGTAATTATCCAAAAATCATTGAAATATTTAAAGCAGTTTTATCCCAAAACTATATTTGAATAAAAGTTAAACAAATTTAAACTTCTTGATTTGTATGATAAACAAACAGCTACCTATCAGTAATTGAATAATGGATTGTTTTCTTATATTTGAAGATGATTTCATTGTATCCAAACATCTTGATAATTAAATACTGTATTAATTTCAAAACAGTAAACTCATGCAAATTCAAGTAACTTTGCGTAGACCTTATTACCTGAGTCTAGAATTGAATTGTATTATTACTTGTCTTTAACAAGTTTGATCGAGTTTAGTATAATTTAATATAAAATAAGTTTAAACTTCTGGTGAGGATATATTTAACCTATATCCAGCTCATCAACATCAAGATGTATTCATGCTGCTGAATATTGCATCATTCTGAAGTCAGGTATTGCCTCGGAGTCTTTATTACCTCAGATAACCACAAGTGTTGTGGTATGTCCTGCAGTGACATAAATGTTTATAGCATGACATAGAGGAGCGATAACAAAATTTGTCGCCATTGGATTATTGGTCCGCTGCTGATACCATATAATGGTATATCCAAATGCTATAAAGATAAAATTCTATCCTGTGGTTTTTGCCTAAATGGGACTTTGAATAGGAGAGGAGTGAGATAAAAATACAGATGGTGGCACTTGAACTTTTATTGAAATTCAGATTTGATTCTGGTTCTACTGTTTAAATATTTCAGGTGACTATTGTATTCTTAGTTTGGTAGTCTACATTTTAACGAATTTCCATATGAATAAGCTATTACCATAGGTCTCATGGTAAGACCTGGACCCGGGACCAATTTACTTTTTCGTTTTGAGGTCGCCAGAGGCCCAAATCAACATCATTCCATCCAGATTCATTTTTGTATTGTTTAATTAAATTGATTTTGTAATAATATATAAATACCCCCGCCGCAGCAAACCTGCAGACTAAGCGAATTTCCATTTGCCAGATTGGATTTACACTAAAATGTCTACTTAAGAATATAACATATATTTCCTATTTAAATAAAATTAGTTTAACAAGTACTTAGGTTTGCTGCATCAGGGAGGGTAAAACAGTTTTAGCGAATTTCCCATATAGGGAATAAGCTATTTTTTTATGTTAATAGTTAGTAAGAAATAAAATCATTTTCCAAATTTGACCAAAATATGTTCATAAACAAGCAAACTACAACAGTTTACTTGTTCTCCATAAGAATAACATGGGAATTAATATACTAAATTATTTGTTTTTTTAAGCTCTTCAAAATGGTTTGAAAAGAAATTGCTAAATTTTATGTTTTTTGGGTCAAAATGGGAATGAATTTGAACGGATGGTGGTTTTGGTCTCTAGGGACCTCAAAACCAAAAAAAAATATTTTTTATTGAGAGGTTGGTGAAATGATTAACTTGTCATACTACCACTAGACAGAAGCTAAATCCAGACTATTTAAATCTAATAAAATTATTTTGTAGCAATCAGATTAACTCACCATTTAATGCACATGGAAATATTATATAAAAGTTTAAAGTTGCAGACTGATAGTATAAAGCTTCCATTGTGTACATTGTTATGGTCAGAAGCAGTGAGCAAACTCCCATGCTGATGATGCTGAAACATAACAAATTGTTATTTCAATGGAATGCCTAAATGGATGGATTTCAGAATTTTCCAACTATGATATTTTAAGTTTGTTTACATTTACGTTGAGCATGTTACAAAATTCATTTAATTTTTTTCATGGATTAAAGTATCATTTTAGTAAGGGCTGATTGAACCTTGGTACAAGAAGTTAATGTTGGTAATTGAAGAGGAGAGGGAATAAATTATTTCTCAAGTCCAAGCTAACCACGGGCCTGATATTAATATAATATAATTAATAAGAACAGTTATTACAAAATGTGGCAAAGAGAGAAATACAAACTTCTATCAGTACTATATTGAAATTCAAACACATTATGGTCAACCACCAATTAATTGTAATAGCATTTTGAGAAAAACATTTTCTTAAATAGAACTTCTACAATGCTAACAGGTTTTGGCAGGAATTTTGACAAAATTGACAGTTTCTCGTAGTCTAATTGAAAAGACTCTTAATCTTAAAGCTACAACACATTGATCTAAGTAAGGATTGAAATATTTTCTTGTAGTCCCTATAACATGTTTTTAATATAGAGTTTAATGTCAACTTACGGTCTGTAATGAATGAAAACTGTGCAGTGGATGAGTGCTATTGCTTTCAATATAGAGTACATTCCAAGAACTCTAGGCAGAGTGGGGTCACCTGAAAAAAGAATGATTCTTATAAAAAACACTGAGTAGTTTTAAAGGGTTAGCGGAATTTTATCCCCCTGGAATTTTACCCCCTGGGCGAAACTTACGTCACAAACCAGGGGTTAAAATTCCGGCCTCAAACTTGAGCTGCACAACATCAGTTCAATAGATTAAAGGTGGAATTAAACGTATAATTAATCAGAACACATCAAATTATAACAACTTAAGAACAGGAAATTTTACCTGTTCAGACTTTTACCCCCTTCATGAGATCAGCTGAAAATTACGGATTTTTACCCCCGGAATTGTGCCCCCTGGTCAGATATGAGTGAAAATTTAAAAACGTACGTTTTCATGTCCCTGGCCTTTTACTTCGTAGATACTGGATTTGTAGTTTATTATTATGTGTTTTAATATTTTTTGGGACGGGGGCAACATGTTACACACATTTATTTGGTTTTAAATAGGTTCTAGGTATTTTTTTCGTATTTTTTAAGTCTCGAAATTCACGACCATGACGTGTCCCTAGGGTACATTTTCCAACTTTCACGCTGTTTTTAGACTAATTATTCATGCCAAAATATATAAAGCCATATTTTTATGTCATCAATGGTTATTAAACTTACAAAAAAGGAGCATATTATAATTTTATTGTCATTGCAAACTGACTACCATGACAAAATAAGTCTGTCCCTCGATTTGGCGTCACGACCATTTGGGAAAAAAATTCAACTTTGGAGCACGACAGTGGCAAGCCTGGCGTCAATGGAGTCAGTTGGTTTTAGAGACTAGTTCGGGGTGTACGTCAGGATTGTAGTGCCGGTCGTTTCGAGTTGAAAGGAGGAATTACAAGATTAATAAAGGAAAGATTGTGTTTTTTGTAATTTTGGTGTGTCCATGACCGTACGTAGTCATTCGATGAAGTAGACATGGTGTTAATTTTTGTTTATAAGATATTTCAATTGCTAGATTAACCTAGAAGTCCACTTTGTATCCTCGAACATGAGGTGCATGGCTACCGCCAGAACAGAGCCAAATAACACGTAATATCACGACCAAAGTTTCACGACCATCGTGGGTTTTTTCACGACCAATCCAGCCTTATGGATTATAATGTGTTTGGTCGTGACAATAACTTTAATATAATTGTAAATTGAACAGTTTAGTTCAATTGAAACACATATTTTTATTATAACTAACAAGATAGTTGAAGGATTGTTTAGAAAGATTTAGATTATTCCAGACAATTCACGACCGTACCGCTTGTCCCTGACCATCACGTTTATGATTTCTATCATAAAAATTAAAAAAATTAAAATATCGTCATATTTTAATGTTTTTGTACACAAAAGAAGCACACCTCTATACAAACATAACGATTTTTCGGGTCTCAGGTAAGTTTTTTCGGAGTTATACAAACTTGAAAAGATTTTATTGGCTTTTTTTCAATTTTTTGAGCTTTATTATTTTTTTCTAGAAAGACCAAATATACCAAAAGCTCAGTGACCTTTTTATTGTACAATGGTCATAAAAGTAAATTAGTTTATAGCAAAACATAGCTATAAAAATAATATTAACTATTTTTAATATTCATTTAAACGTCCGTTATGGTCGTGACAGGATTTTGTGTTCTTCCACTAAAGATGCTCTTTTAAAAAGAAACTATCAAAGATATTGCGTTACCATGGACATTTTATGAAACTTCAAATGTTAATGAAATAAAAAAAATAATAAAAGTTTTGAAAAAAGGGGAAAAAAATTTGCAAAGTGCTTTTCCTGAAAACGTACGTTTTTAAATTTTCACTCATATAGAAATTAGTGAGAATGATAAATTTATTGAGTGAAATTTAGAAAATAGTGAGAATGATACATATTAACGAAAACAGTTGGCCCCAAACCCAAATCCCGAATATCAAAATTAATTAAAGATAGGCTACTTAATAATTAAATGTTTGCTGTAAAATTAAAACTGAAAGAATAAAATTAATCGTTCTCAATCATTTCTATATCTGACCAGGGGTTAAAATTTCGGGGGGTAAAAATCCGGGCCGTACATCAACAGTTGCCTAAACGCGGGAGGGACAGTTATATGGACAGAGGGTAAAATTCCATTTTTATTGCTAATCTAATTTACGCTCTGTCTATTTTCATTAGACTTTCAAATCCGCGGGGGTAAAATTCCGCCCGCGAACAAACTTAGAGCGCTAAGGTTACTTACTACGTCATAGTGATGACAGCTTTGTCCAGGGGGTAAAATTCCGGTGACCCGTTTTAAACCCAAGAAACACTATATAATTGTCAATTGTCTATGATTAAAAACATTCCTTTCATTAAAGGTCGTTCCTTTAAAATCAGATAGCCTATTTTTGAATTATGTAACAATTAATTAGGATTTACCACTCTGAAAAAACCTATCTTGTTAACAATTTTAAAGAAGTACTCGTAATATAAAGGGCAACAAAAAAGAGAAGAACAAAACCATCCAAAATATCTAATGGGAAAAGGGTGAAACAGATTGGTCGGATATAAAATGGCCTAATTAAACTGTTCAACATTGATTAAATAAATGCACAGACTGAAACCACTGTGTATTTTTATCACTGTCTGGCCCAACCATTTAATCTAGAAGTCATTTTCATAAAAAACTTCAATTTTCAACAATCAAAACTGTACAACCAAAGTAAATACTGTATTAACGTTAAATTGAAGACATAACCTAAAATGTCTATTTTAATTAAGATAATAGTCCTTGTAGTGCAGCGAAAAGATTGGTCGGATATAAAATGGCCTAATTAAACTGTTGATTAAATAATTGCACAGACTGAAACCACTGTGTATTTTTATCACTGTCTGGCCCAACCATTTAATCTAGAAGTCATTTTCATAAAAAACTTAAATTTTCAACAATCAAAACTGTACAACCAAAGTAAATACTGTATTAACGTTAAATTGAAGACATAACCTAAAATGTCTATTTTAATTAAGATAATAGTCCTTGTAGTGCAGCGAAAAGTACTGTATCGTCCAAAACACGAGTGAAAGTAGTCATTATATAACCTCGACCATGTAAAGTGCTCGATAAATCTCACATTTGAAACATAATGGTCTCGAATATGTAATGACTCCATGGTGGAAGGAAAATAGATAGGTGTGCTATTCCCGTCATATGCTGACGTCACTCAGATTGCAAAATGATTGCAAACACCATTTTACCATTTAGAAAAATTATAAAAACAATAACAATAAAATCAAAACAAATATATACTACTTATATGGCAATACAATCAGCTGACTTTTTGTTTGTATCAGCTGATTGTATTGGCATATATAAGTATACAGTATATTTGTTTTTATTTGATTGTTATTGTTTTTATAATTTTTCTAAATGGTAAAATGGTGTTTGCAATCTGAGTGACGTCAGCATAAGGAATAGCACACCGATGTATTTTCCTTCCACCATGGTACTGTATTAATAATGTAACTCAAAGATCATAAATATTGAAAATGTCAAAATTGACAGATCTCGATTTTTTATTTTACAAATGATCAGCGGTCAGACTGGTGACTAAATGTGAAGCAAAGCCACAAGATTATGAGATGGTGAATTTAAACTGATGTTCCGGCGATTTCTTTGGCACCATCAATAATCCAACCAGTGTGAGTAGAGTTTCAACTGCAAATCTCATCTGCTGAGAATCAAGAGCCTGAGCACATTTGGCGGGTTGCCACAGGTATCAACAGTTTTGCTGTACATTTGGCTTGCTCCAGTTACTGGTATGTCTCAAGTTTTCGGTACAATTTTAAGTTTGACAGTATTTTTTTAATGAGAAAGGTTATATAGGCCTAATTAACCATTTACCATTTTATTAATTTTTAGTTAAAAAATAATACAAATTAGAATTGAAAAACTAGCTTGGAGTAGATATTTTATAAGACCCACGGGCCTGAATGTGATGACAGTTTTGTGGGTTGGGGTGTCAAGTCAAATTTTAAATTGCCTTTATAACTCAATGCAATAATGCAATTACCATACATCAAAAAACTTTTTAATAACTAGTTCATAGTACATATTACCAAGAGAAGATCTGAATGGTATCGATCGGGGTTTGTGGCTCACACACACTGACAATAGGAAACTGCAGGTGTTTGTTCCATACTTCATATAAATCACTTCACATATTTTGAAAGTAAACTCATTTTACAAAACCCATAACCCACATAATGTACTAAACGAGGTTTCAACAAATATAACTCTCAAATGTTTCATTTTACCTTGTTTCCTCCGTTAGCTTTGGTAATTTGGCAAATATACGCAATATCACAAGATAAACGAGCCTCTCAGTGTTTCGTCTGCGGATTAACCTTTGTGTAATGATAATTAATTAGGCAGGAAGCAGTGGGGACAGAAATAAGCGGAGGTAAGCGGAGCATAATCCGAGAATTATTGTCTTCCCTGGACTGTCGCCAGATGGACCGCTCGAGCCAAACTCCGCTCAGCTGTTTTTCCTCCACCTTACTGACGTTTCCGGTTTGCTGTAGCTGCCGTTTTGATGTTTCATCCAGCTTCTAGTGTTTTATCCGGTTGATTATGCATAAAGTAAACTTTTCAAAGTGACAAAATGTGACTTCACCAACTTGCATTTAAAGAATGAGAACTATTTAACTACTGTCTGGGGGAGAAATACTCGAGTTGGAACATAAATATCTCTGAGATGAATGATTCGGTTTTGTTGAAACAAAAGTTAAATACCTATTTCGCTAAACTACTATGATAAGGCCTGTTTTTGTTGCATGTTTATCACCTGCGAAAATCCTTCATTACACTGTTTACTACGGAAAATAATTTTGACTATGCAAAAGTAATGTTTACTATCTTTTTTTTTTTGTATTTTGCTGACGTAAACAAAGATTTGTTATTGTTTTGTCAACTGTTTCAATTTTCAACAACCAAAACTAGACAACCAAAGTAAATATTAACTTTAAATTGATGACATAACCAGATGGCATAAC